AAGTAAGTAAAAAAAAAACAACAAAAAGAAAAACAATGATAACCAGAAAAATGGAAAATTATTTCATGATCTTGGATAGAGAGGCCCAATATTGTCAAGTGATTTGAAACTTGATCTACAGGTTCTGTACAATCCCAATTAAAACTCCAGCAAATTATTTTCTAGATATTGATAATCTATTGTTTATGTGCAGAGACAAAAATTTCAAAGTAGCCAATTCAAGACCCAAAGAGAAGAACTAAGTGCTTGAGGGCCTGGCTGGCACCCCAACAGGCCAATAAAACTAGATAGAGAGCCAGAAACATAAACTGTATCCTATAGATATAGTGCAATGATTTTTCTGATAAATGTCTCACTATGTAGCCTGTGTTGGCTTTGAACTCATCATGATTAGTGATCTTTATGACATAGCCTTTTGAATGCTGGGATTATAGACATGCATCACTATAGCCAAATTGTCTATAGTCAATTTGTCATTGACAAAGGAGCAAAGGAGACACAACAGAGAAAACAGTCATTTTCGTGTTTGAACTCATGTCAGAACAAGTAATCATACAAACATAAAAGTTAAAACCTAGGCATAGAATTTATACAATGATTTCTTTAAAAACCCTCAATTACCCATACACATGTAAAATGTGAAAATACAAAAGTGGCAAAGGACAATTCAGATGTTTGCTGGTGGCACTGCAGGCACACTATCAAAGGTAGTATCTATGAAAGAAAAATTGATCACTGGACTTCATTAAGCTAAAACCTCTGCTCTGCACTGTTACGTTGAGACGCTAATAAGAGAATGAGAGACAACATACAAACTAGAAGAAACTATTTGCCAAAGATAAATCTGATAAAGGACTATTATCCAAAAGAACACATAGACCTCTTCAAACTTAACAAAAGAAAATGAAAGAACTTATTTAAAAGAAAATAGTCTGGGGTTGAGAGTGAGATTCAACTGGTAGAGCATCTGCATATGAAGTATGAGGCCCTGAGTTCAAATGTCAGTAACACACACACACACACACACACACACACACACACACACACACACACACACACGTATGGGGTTGGAAACTCACATCAGTCCTCCAACTACTCTGGATTAGAAGGACTGGAGTTCCAGGCCTGCTTGGACAGAGATTTGAGAGATGAAGAGTGAATGATGCTCCAACTCGCAAGCCTTCAGCCCTTTAGAGTAATCCCACATCCCTGCATCAAAAATGCCCAGTGGACAGTGGCCTTTGCACCAATATTTGTTCACTGGCTGAGCTGGATGGGTCCTGAATGTTACTGTCAATGAGGTGGCGAAAGACCAGGAGAAACGCCATAGACAACGGACATGTGTTCCAGCTGGCCTTTCACCCTGGAAATGGATGGATTACAAATTTGCCCTTCGCTGCCTCTCATGCCCACCCCACGGTGCTGTCAAAAGCTTTCTCTTCTGAACTTCCAGGCACCTCTCTCTCCCTTTCCCCAACAAACATTTACCTTTGCAGCTGCTGACTAAGAGGCCAAAAGCCAATGACCTTAAGCCCTCACTCTTCCTCTGACCAGGTTCCAAATAAGAGCTGTGTTGCAAGGATCAGAAGCCACTGCCTGAGGCATTTGCTCAGAATGATGTAACTTCTGTCCTTTGCCATCCCCACGGACCTCAAATGTCAGCTAGGCTTCTAAATCCTTGAAATACCTAGCAACATTGCTTCAAATCCTTTTCCTTGTATGATGAAAGTTTTACTCAACTTTTTAGTGTCCATGGCGTGGGAGGGGTGTTCCCAGAAATCAAATGTTTTGTTAGATCACCTCATGTTTTGTTTTCTTTCTTTCTGCAGTCTTTTGTGCTTTAGTTGCTTTTTTTCCTCCCACTAATCCTAACTAGAGAGTTTTAACTTCTTTATTGTATTCCCTCTAGAGAATACTCACTGTAGGGTAGTGCATATCATCTTAAGGACTGGAGTGTAGAGAGAATGGCATAGCTGATGAACTGGAAAGAACTTCAACTCCACTGGGGAATGTTTTTCATTTTTTTTGTAGTTGCTGACTATATATAATTCCTTGAGTTGCTTCACCCTCTTCTTCCTCCTCTATCCATTCTGACTCACCAACCCCTCTCCACCAAAAGAAAACAAAACCTCTCTCTTGTTTAAATTTCAAAAGACATGTCTTTTTAAAATTATTTTCATTTTTGAAGATGTTTTTCAAGTTTATTGAGGTATAATCCAAGTGCACTAAATAGCACATATTTAAGATATACAATCCTCGCAATGCTGACATATATATATCTTTGCACCCACCATTCCTCCAATAACATTTCCATGCCGATTGTTTTCCCTTTAATCCATTCCTCCCTCTGTCCAAACCACCCCAGGCAACCACTGATGTGTGCATTTTCTCAAGTATGGCTTTTTTCATCCAGTGTACTGACTCTAAGATTCTTTGATGTTGTTTATATTAATAGTTGACTTGTCTTTGTTCTAAATAAAATTCTATGTATGGTTAGACCACAACATTCTCATTCATTCATTTACTATCTTAGTCTCAGTTACTATAACAAAATACCAGAAGCTAGCTCCCTTCTATGCAGAGCTTTATTGAGCTCACAGCTCTGGAGGCAGGCTTACGGCCATGGGGCCAGCACTGGTTTACCTCTGGTGAGGCATCATGGTGGATAAAATCACAATGGGAGTGAGGCTTGGCACCAGAGCGAGAAGAAAACCAGGTTTGCTCTTCTGAGAATGAATCCTGTCTGAATAACTAACTCTGGGTCTTACCATAACTAATATAAGTCCTTTCAAAGACAGCAACCTGAGGACCTCCCACTAAGCCCACATATCCCCCCAGTATGAACCACACGGAGATCTAAGCTCTCAACACATGAACTCACTGGCAACAGAGATAGACTGTATCCAATTCCTAGTGAAGTTCCAGAAAATGTCCATGTATGAGACTCTGTGTTTCAATTTTTTTCTTTCTCTTTGGTAAATGCCAGTAAGTAGAATGGGTGGGCCACGTGGTAGGCGATTGTTGAACTTTGGAAGAAAGTATCATATTTATTTGCAGAGTGGATCTGGGTAGGTGGCTTCTGCTCCCCTGGGTGATGTATGAAGGTTTCATTTGCTCTGTATGCTTTAGGTTCTCATCAACATTTGATATGACCAGTCATATGTGTGCACTTATACATTTAAAGAATTGGTGGGTAGTTAATTCAGCTTTTTGTTTTTAAAAATGATCGTTTTCTTTGCTTGTTTCATTTCTCCTTTTGGCTTTATTTCTAACAAGGGAGAACATATGGTTGGATTTATGGGAAATAAAACCAGATAGCTTTTGTTGTTCCAGAGAAATTATTAATAGCATCCCTAAGTAATTTCCAAGCATCCTGGTTTGGATAATAAAATGTACAGTTTCTTCCCAATTAGTCTAGGTTGCTTTTTCACAATCCACTGCCAATCCAGGCACTCTGTTCAACAAAACTTTTCTCTAAAAGTTTTACTGTGTTTCTTAAACAGGGCAGGACTTGGATGACACAATCTAGGGCTTAGGGAAGGGCAAGGAGTGGGTATTCTTGTCATCAGATAGAGAAAACAGCTTGCTGGAAGATGAACCGACAGAGGCAGTGCTTGATGACTCCCATGAAGGCTGGTTGCAACCACACTTTTTTTTTTTTAATGCCAAAGCTAGTCCTATTTGGGTTTCTACCACAAAATAATGAGAGTCTTGCTAATACTCCAAGCAAGCAGTGAAGAAATAGCATTTTGCCGAGCTTGGGCTGTGGCTCTTCCATATCTGGGGTTGCGGATCGGATCAGGGCCCTGGAGTTCAAAGCAGGTACTCTGTGGGTGGGTGGCATCCACACCTTCAGAGGACTCTTGATAGTGTAGGGTCAAAGTATGCACCAGATCACCACAGGGTTTGTTTAAACCAGTCCTCTATCCCCAGGCCCTCACTCCAACTCACTAGCTCTTAATCTTTAACTAGATGATCAAGCCAAGGCCCATCCGGACACTGTTCTGAATTTTGGGGAAACCGTCTGCGTTCCCCAGTAGCATTTCCTTCCTTTTCAGCGATTAATACCCGTAGGGGTACGTGTTCTTCACTCGGGGTGCTAAGTATGCAAATGAACACCCGAAGGAAGACCCCCCCACACACACACGTTGCGCACAGGACGGGGTGGAGCCCAGGCATTCGGGGCTGGACGGAGGGAAGACACCAATAGAAGTGAGTTCGCTCGCGTCTGGAACACTGGACCTGCAGGCGTGCCTGCTTTGTCAGGAAAGCCCTGGTCGTCGCCCCAAGTCCCAGACACACATGAAATGCCGCCAGGCGCGCCTCTAACTCGCACAGGATCTAATCCTCCAAGAGCCGGGGAGAAGACAGGCACCCGAGGCGACCTCATAACCCCGCCCAGGCAGGAAGCCCCGCCCATCGGCCTCCGAGGCCCGCCCCCACGCCGTGGCCACGCCCCCGAGAGCTCAGGTTACTCCTTTTCTTGTCCTGGGGCTCCTCCTAAGCTCCCATGTACTACCCTTTACAGCTTTGAGACTCTTCCTCCGCACTCTGTGGCCACGCCACTCACCGCCAAGGCGCCGCCCACCACTTTCGGATTTCGCTCCCGCCCCCTTTGAATCAAGGCTACCCGGTAGCTTCACCGCGAAGGAGGCGCGACAGTATGGGCAAAGGGGTGGGCACGGCCTTGCAAGCGGAGGAGGCGTGGCCTTGCAGGCGGAGGGGTGTGGCCTGAGGACGGGGGAGGCGTGGCCTGCAGGCGGAGGAGGCGTGGCCCGACGGCGGAGGCGCGGGCGGCGCCGCGCGGACTCTGGCTTTGACACCCGCGGCGCGCGGCGGGCGGCGCGAGTTGGGTGCCGGACTTTCGGTCTGGATCCCTGCCGCGGCGTCCGCGCTGCCAGCCTCGGTGCAGCCTCGGTGTTCGGTCTCGCCGCCGCTCTCGCAGCCCGCGAACCTCCCTGCGGGTCTTGCCTGTTTGCGGAGAGCCAGAGTTTCTCCCGCAGAAAGAGCCGGGCGCGCGGACCGCGCCGGCGCGGGCGCGTCCCCGCAGGGCGCAGGCCGGGCTGGAGGCCGCAGGTGAGACCGGGCCGGTGCCCTTTACCCCCAGCCGGGAGGAGGGAGCGGGGTGCGGGCGCAGCGTGGGGGGCCCCTCTCCCGTGTTTGCACGCGCGAGCCCTGAGTTCACAAGTTGCCCGGCCGCCACAGAGAAGAGGGGGCTCGAACTCTCGTCTGGCACGGGCGAGGGGTGACCAAAGAGTTTAGGAAGGGCGCGGGCGGCGGGAGCCCGAAGGGATGGAGTCTGGAGCCTTGTTTGAACGACCGCTGGCTCCCATGGAATCCGGCCCGGAGCAGCCGGCCCCAGCCCCTGGTCCTGAACCCCAGCATTGGTCCCAGGGCTAACAGCAGACGGCTGAATTCTGCCCATCTGTGTGTTCATTTCTAGGTGGCTCAGGAAAGGTCATTTTGGTCACCAGGCATGGAAGATTTGGTGTTCGTTTGCAGCAACGTGTTCCACTCCTAAATCCTGCACCTTCCCGGGTCTGGGAAACGTTCCCCGGCTCCCTCCCCTAGGCGCAACTCTGCAGTGGACCGGCCTTCCTGCGCCCCTGCTCTTGGCTGGCCATGGGGAGCACCCTGGGCTGTCATCGCTCCATCCCCAGGGACCCTTCGGATCTGTCCCACAGCCGAAAGTTCAGTGCAGCCTGCAATTTCAGCAACATCCTGGTGAATCAGGAGCGGCTCAACATCAACACGGCCACAGAGGAAGAACTGATGACCCTGCCTGGGGTGACACGGGCCGTGGCCCGCAGCATCGTGGAGTACCGGGAATACATCGGTGGCTTCAAGAAGGTGGAGGACCTGGCGCTGGTCAGTGGGGTGGGTGCCACCAAATTGGAGCAGGTCAAGTTTGAGATCTGTGTGAGCAGTAAGGGCAGCTCAGCCCAGCACTCTCCCAGCTCGCTGCGTCGGGATCTGCTGGCCGAGCAGCAGCCACACCACCTGGCCACCTCGGTGCCCCTCACACCGCGAGTCAACATCAACACAGCCACCCCGGCTCAGCTCATGAGTGTGCGAGGCCTCACGGAGAAGATGGCCCTCAGCATCGTGGACTTCCGCAGGGAGCACGGCCCCTTTCGCAGTGTGGAGGACTTGGTGAGGATGGATGGGATCAGTGCGGCCTTTCTGGATAGGATCCGACACCAGGTGTTTGCTGAGCGGTCCAGGCCCCCATCCACCCACACCAACGGGGGCCTGACCTTCACTGCCAAGCCGCACCCCAGCCCTACCTCACTGAGTCTGCAGAGTGAGGACCTGGACCTGCCTCCAGGGGGTCCCACGCAGATCATCTCCACTCGGCCCTCCGTAGAGGCCTTCGGAGGCACGAGGGACGGGAGGCCCGTGCTGAGGCTGGCCACCTGGAACTTTCAGGGCTGCTCGGTGGAGAAGGCTAACAACCCCGGAGTGCGTGAGGTGGTGTGCATGACACTCCTGGAAAACAGGTGAGGGATGTGACAGCAGCTGGAGGGGGATGGGAGGTGGGGGGGAGACACATCTGTGGATGCAAATAAGCTCACTCTGTGGGCTAGGGAGGAGGGCAAGAATATTTACTCAGTGTTCTTGGGGGTCTAGCCCATGTTTTCAACTGAGGCCCTGCTTGCTTTCTGCTCCAGAAGCTGTGTGGGCCCAGGGCCCCCATGTTTTGAGTGTGGTATAGCTGACATGGGGCTTGATTTGGGGGTTGGAGTTTGTGTGGGAGAGCACTGCTATGCAGAAGATGGTTTGACTCAGGAGGCTTCCTAGGGTTCACAGTCTGTCAGCTGCTCAGCCTGGGAACACAGGCACAGTTATGCTCGTGTACTAAGAACAATTGATTGAATTTTTTTTTTTGGTGGGAGGGGGAATCACATTTGTTCCATCATACCCTATTGATATGCACAAAACCATCACCAGATGTCTGCGCATAGAAACACTGCCTGTGTTTACCAGGAAGTTGTGCATGTCACTGGCCATCCTCTTTCCTTACTGAACCTGAAGTTGGCATTTACTGCTAACCTCCCCTGTCCCATAGCCAGAAAAGGCTAAGTTCTGTGTGTGAATCCTGGCTGCATTTTCCCATCTCAGCCAAAGGAGAAGAGACTTGCAGGGCAGGCCATTGATGAAACTGTTTATATCATTCACGGCAGTGCTCTGTGGGAACATCCGTTAACTCCCCATAAAACAAAACAGTATATGGTGCCAGGAACTCCTGCTGTTAGTAAAATAGCGTGCATATAATGGCATCAGCTTTGGGAATTAAAGAAACATGTGAGGTCCTTTTACCGTGTTCTTGAGGGATTTCTCTCCCATCACCTAGAGGGACAGTGCTGGTTTTGCTTTCTTTCCACCATCTCAGGTGGTTGGTGAGGTCAGCAGGGTGGGGGTTTGGTGACATGAAGTGATTTCTCAGTGGGAAACCACAGTGCCTTGTGCAGACCATCCGTACCGGTGAGAGGAGAAAAGCAGGTCACAGTATTTCCCTGGCACCATCCGTAGGCATGCTTGTCACCAAGGAGGTGCACAGGCTGGATCTGAGAAGGGGACCAGCAGCTTTCGAGTGTTCTTGCCACATGCCAGTGTCACTGGTCTGGACCCCTCACTCACCCTTGCTGGTCATCTCATGCTCAGAAGAGCTGGATACAGCCCCTGGAGATAACTAGGCAGGAATGGCTTGAGAATGCTTCTGTCCTCAGAGCACATGGGTGGGTAGAGTGGAGGGGAAGGGCATAGGCAGCCAGGGACTGCTGTTCACTTCCTATCAGGGGTTTCCTTGAGGCCCCTTTGGATGGGATGTTGCCTCGTGGGCAGCTCTAGCAGCCCTAGCCTGTTTGTTTTCTCTCAACACTGCCCACAAAACTCTGTGTTCTGTGTTTAACACATATTCCAGGTACTACTGATATATGCTTGGCTTTAAGACTCATTGTACCAGATGTTGGACAAGTTTTTTTTTTCTCTCTGCCCTTTGTGCACTCTCTCTCTTTCTCTGTCTCTCTGTCTCTATCTCTCTCTTTCTCTGTCCCCCCTCTCTTGTTCTTTTCTTCTTTCTCTCTTTTGTCCTGAAGCTTGAATTCAGGCTTGGGCGCTATCCCTGAGCTTGTATTTGCTCTAGGCTAGTGCTCTACCACTTTGAGCTCTAGCACCATTTTCAGCTTTTTGGTGGTTCATTGAAGAGTCCCACAAACTTCCTGCCTGGGCTGGCTTTGAACCATGATCATCAGATCTCAGCCCCTTGAGTGGCTAGGATTAAAGGGGTGAGCAAGTGAAGCCTGGCTTCTGACTTTCTTTATAGAGCTCTTTTCCTTCACTGTCCTTTCTGGCCAGGCCAGTGCTTTCCTATGGAGCTTTCCAGGCACTTTTCTTTGCTTTGATTGTTCTGATCATCTCTATAGTTGTTCACTGTATGGCCAAGGTTCCAGGGGGCAACTCAGTTTCTAGGACATGTGAATGTGGATGGGGAGAAAGGAGAGGGTATGAGCAGGACAAGATGACTTGAAAAGTTTGAAAGTTCTAGCAACTCAGGAGGCTGCATCAACTGAACTTGTTCTGTTGTGTGGAGATGGGGCTGCCCGCCCAGGGGTTTACTGTGAGGAGCTTTCCCAGTATGGAGTCAGTAGGGTTTGCCCTGCTTTTATTAGGATTTCCTAGATAGATGTGGTTTGTAGAGGATATTGAACTTTTGTCTTTGGGTGTCAGGGGAAGTTACCCAAATTCAATAGGGCTTAGAAGGAGGTACCTGTAAGTGATAGAAAGATGACCCCCCCAGCTTGTTCCCATTGGCTCCATGAATTGTCCCTCCCTTCACCCAAACTTGTTCTCATTTGCTCTGTGAGTTGTCCTGGGGGTTGGTGGCTCCTCTCGCCTGGTCATGATGCTTTGGGTATTCAGGACACTCCTAGCACATGGCTTGTGTCTAGTAAACAGGATGTAATAGGCTTAAGGCCTGATCCTAAAGCACTGAGGCGGCTGCATTTGCCTGTGTGACTGTCCTAGAGTACAGAAAGCTGTCACAGAGTGACAAGTCATACTGATTTACAGCAGCCTGGTACATTCCAGCTGTTCCTTTTATTAGTAAGAGGAAACATATTTGGTGTGAGCAAGAATGGATGCAGGTGATTTTCCTGTAGCTCTTCTTTTCCTGTATGTATATGCATGGCAGAAGAATCTTCTGACTTCTGGACATATCTTTGTGTCTTCTGACACCTTGCCCTTTGTTACATTTCCCCAGTAACTTCAGGAAGTGGTGATCCTGACTGACTATTAATGATCCTCCATCTCTGGGTGTGGAACATAAAACTGGAGTAGTTGAATGACTTGTCTTTGAAACACAGCTCCATTAATGACTCAGCCTGGATGAGGCTGAGTACTGGACCTTCTGCCTGTAGACCACACTGATTGTTTGTACCCAGGATGTGTTTGGTGAGCAGAGCACCTTCATGCTGCCTGTTGGTCAGGCATCCCATGCTCTGCTAAGACAGGGCCCTTGCCAGATCATGTGCCAGGCATAGAAACCAAATCCTTTGTACAAATGTTTTACAGCAGTCACGAGCAAGTTTGCAAAGCGAATAGCTGGCTTCTGGCGTTCCTTTCTGCAAGTTTACTTGAGTGGATGTATTTTCTTCCTGAAAGTACCCAGAGGAGCTAGGAGCTGGAGTCCTTGTCCTGAGGTGCTTCTGCCTGGGTGGATGGGAGTAAGGGAGCTACAAGAGACTGTGCTTTGCTTGAGGTGGCACAGCACAGAGCCAGATAATTATAGAGTCTCCTGGAGCCTTTAGGAACACCATGCTGGTGGTACAGAACTGGTGTATCTCATCAGACTCTTCTGCCAAGCCTCAGTCTTAGTGTTCTTCATGTTCAGTATTTATGGGGCAAGATAGAAAAAGAAGTGCTTCTGCAATGTCCTTGAAAGACTCTGTGGCAGGCCACGTGTGGAAAGAAGACTGTTTAATTTGTATTTGTTCTTCTGGATAATTGTTTTATTCTGTTTACTCAAGAGTCTAAACCCTGGGGACCTGACATAATCTCCAGAAGATATCAGGAGATTTAACATCCCAGTTGCTCTTCTCCCCCTCCCCCTCTCCCCCCATGGCCTACATCAGGAAGAAGTTCTAGTGTCTTCTAATGGTTTAAATCTGATTTCTTGCCGATAGACAGTGTTGAAGCCCCAGGTAGATTAGTGCCTGACACATGCACAGATTGTGGGAAAAGCAGTCTTTGTTGATCAGACCTGATTGGTGGGATAAATACAGATACAAACCATTTTGTCATTTTTATTGAAAACTACGTATTGAATCCCTGCCACAAACATATATGAGCTGGATGTGGAGGTCAGCTGGCCTGATCACCTGACAGAATTAACTTAAAATTAACTCCATCTTTAAGGCTTGGCATTAAAACCGTGTGGTAAGCCTAGACACATAATTGATATGGGGCTGTATTTTTCCTATGTGAATGACAAGACTTGTCCAGGGGTAGGGGAAGGACAGGTTGAGGGGCAAAATGGCTTCCTGAAGTAGAGATGAAAATCTGTTTTGCCTGTTTTGAGGAAGCTGAGGGTTGGTAAGATTAAGCAGCTTCTATGTGGCCTTTGAAAATGGAGATGTTGGAATCAGAATTTGTTTGAGCCAGGTCTTTGTTTATTTTCAAACCTGGGACCAGGTAAGTCTTTCCCAAAATGTTGTATCCTTCCATATCCTGACTCTGAGGCTGGCCTGCCTACACCCCACCCATGATTTCCTCTCTGTCTTGAGTCTTCAGTTGGCCAGGTACCAGCGTATTGGGGGGAAGGAGGGCTTCACCTAGACTCAGGCCTTGGGAGACTTCTGCTTCCTTCCTGTTTTTGTTCCTGCAAAGGAGGGGATTGTTGCCAAATGTAGAGCCAGTCTGAGGGTTTCAGAGCTGCTAGAACCAATTGGAGGGTGTCAGTTACCTTTAGAACCAATCAGAGGACATCAGGGCCCTACAGCCAATCATTGGGTGTTATGTGCCTCTACCCAGCCCTCAGCTGTGAGCCTGTGACCTTGGGCCCTGTTCCAAAGTGGACTTATGGGTTTTCTGAACCAAAGAATTCTGGGCCCTTTCCAGAAAGAAAGGTGGTCATCAATTTGTAAGGAAAGATAACATGAGAGATGAGAAGTCCTTGTATTGGCATTGCTTGGGGTTTATGTAATTGGAGAGAAAACAGTTTTCTAAGTAAGTTTAGTACCTCTGGGGTCTGATTTCAAGGTTCAGTGGGGGTTTGAAAGTATTGATTCTTCTAAATTCTATCATTCCTTTATCACCCATCCATCTACCCATCCTTTCATTCAAACAATTCTTCTGGGCTTTCTGTAGCTGTTAGGTTGTATATCAGGTTCTGCTCACAAAGTGAATGAGGCAAGCCCCTTATTCTTTGGGAACCTCCATTCTGGGTGGGGAGACGTCAGTAAGCACCTCCAGAGTGCTGGGGGTCATGGAGGAGAGTGAG